TTAACCCCTGGTTTATCTAATCTAGCCTGAACCGAACACTGTACTGTCAAACGAAAACAACAAAATGCTCGTTTCTTTGATTAATCCAATGGCATTTGTCATAAACTGCTTGATGTGGTTTAGGGGAAGAAATATGAGCTGTTAATTCTAGTCTTTTGAATGAATTCGCGAATATGTGCTCAATCTATGATCTAAATAAAACAACTTCATTAATGCAAATACCAATGCCACCCACAAAACAGCTGTCAAGCTAGCTCAAATCAAAACAATCTTTTGTAATTGAAAAAATATCGATGTTGACTTTAAATGAATAACTTGGGAGACTCAGTAGCCACGATTAACTTAACACCTGGCATAATTCATCAACAAGAATAGAATCTGACATGAAAACTATATCTGAGTCGCACTTTGGGTTCGATTAGACACAGTTTAAATGACAAAGGCACAAATTTATTCCGCAAAACATGAAGAACAAAATTAAACCAGACGCTGGAATAAAGAGGAACTTTTAGAGCCTGTTATTTACACATACCTCGTGTGCAAGCGTTCGACAGACAATTAAATAAAGAAATCTTAATTACTTACAGTTATTAAATAATCTAATCAATCAAGTGGTAACAAATTTGCCATATTCAAGGACACTAAAACTGTCACACAAAGAGAACTCTATAAAAAAGGCTTCACTATGCAACAACTTACTTGGATGATCGTACTAACTTCTTCCGATAACGGACATCCCGTTTTAAAAACTTCCCACGAACTTTTACTGCTTCACTTGACGATGTAATAGCTTAAATCTTTTATTAAGATTACTTCTTCTGCACACTTTGTTACAATGCTGGCGAATTACGATTTCATATAAACAGACTGCGTAAAGAAGTGTACCCGCTCACAAACCGTCGCGTCGCACTAGAAGCAAAAGAAAAAGTCTTCTAGTCGTCTCCCGCATTTAAGGCAACACCATTTCCACCATAGAGAACTCAGAAACCCCTTTTTCATAAAATTTCAAATGAATCGTCAATCACGATTAGATTCGATATACGCCAGGCACCCTTCTTCAAATTAAATGCGTAATTCTTCGTAACCTCCGCATTCTCATATCAGCGAAAGAACAGTGGGTTAATTAAATTTCTCCTAGCAATAAAACTCCTTATCGCAACAACCAAATAAAACCTTTTGTAAAACACGTAAATTTGACCAGATTTGTCTTACTTTTAACACCTTATCTAAATAGAACAATTTACAACAGCGAGAAAATAAAAACAAAAAAATTACACATCTACACAAATTTCTAAAATGAAAAAACAAATACTGAAACACAAATTCAACTAAAATAAACCAATTTTGTGTTTATTCGTAAATGAACCACTAGATTTTTACTTAAACATTGAAATATACCACGTAAAGGGTGCCGGCCAGAATAACTTCTGTAAGACGTAGTTTACACAACAAAATATTACAACTTCAACTTGCGTGGGCAGTTTACACTTTAAAAGATGGGCGTCGACCCACCCTCCCCTTGTTACAATATGGCATTTACTTTCATGTGTTAATCTGTCGGAGTAGTTTCCTTTTCGCTTTGGAGGCGAGTATTTTTAGTTTTTTTTGCAAATATTTCTAAGGGGGTCGAAATTCCAGGAACAAAGATTTCGGAAGCGTATTGTAAGCGCCGGTGCCATAAGTGAGGCGGGGTGACATGGAAGTTTGAAACTTCTGGTTGCGAATTTTCCGGAGCGAATTTTATGGGCGAATTGGTCAACCTAGCCAAGCATCCATCTGTTGTCCGTCCAAACCTCCAGGTGCAGTAAGAGCTTTCCAAGAATTTAGTGTAAGAAGTATGCCAAATTTACCAAACAGCAACAATAATTGAATAATTTGACAGTAGAAGGTTATACCAGATATACATTTTGACAACATTTATTTATTTATTATCCCTCTCTTGTTATGGGCCCTCAACAGGCTTGCGCTCAATTACAGAGTGAACCGCATAATGGTTTTTCGAGGTGCCTCTGCAGAAGGTCTTAAGTTGTTAACATGATGCACTAGGGGGCTTGGATGCAGAGGCGGATTTAGCAATTTGCCGCCTATGGGCCAGGCCTGATTTGCCGCCCTAGCAAGTACCAAGGGATGGGGAGAAGGGGGGGGGGTGAAAAGGTAGACCCCTTTGGGTATAGTAATAAACGAAGGAAATATAATGTATAATGTATTAACATACATAAAACATGAAACAATGTCTTTCTTTACATTTTACAATAGCTTCCTTTTGGATTGGCTTTTGGCAAAAGTGTTTATTATGTCGTCAAAGTTCAATTTCTTCGTCAGATCAGATTCTGTTGTTAAGACCGCCTGCCAATTCAGACGATTGTTGCTCATGTTTGAACGAAGGTAGCTTTTCAATCGTTTCATCACAGAAAACGACTTTCGGCCGAACAATTAGATACTGCCATGGTTAAGATAATTTTTAAGCAGATATCCACATACGGGTAGAGTTCTCTCAGACCGCGATCATCGATCATTTTCTGAAGATCGGCGAATGTTTTGCGGTGCTCGTCATCTACACTTTTCAAAAAACTAAAAAAGTGAAGACATTCATT